TCAGCCCCTGCCACAATCCCTGTCCCTAAACAGCAGGGTTACACCACCCAGCCCACCCGTGGGCCTTCCCAGGGAACTGCTGCCCCATGCACCTGCCCGGTGCCACAGGGGTGAGGGGCTGCCTGCAGCGCCCCGGCAGCTCGGAGGACAAGGAGCACCCAGGCACCAGGCAGGCTTTCTGGATGGGAATGCCTTGCCCAGAGTAGCCGAAAGCATCTGCCTTCACTCGAGTGGCAGCAGCTGCCCAGATGTTTAGCATGGGAAGAGGCTCAGCTTTGTTTGCCGCGGGATCTCACAGTGCTTTGGCCGCGCTGGGATAATTGCATTAGCGATCGCTGTTCGGGAGCAAGGGGCCAAGGGCTGACTCACCTCCCTTCTCCCTCTCCCCCCCACTGACAGAAGCCAAACGGTAGAGACCGTGCTGTGCTGCCAGACAGCGTCTGTAAACAGAGCGCGGGGCCAGCGATGGCAGCATCTTTCTCTCATTAGGGATTTTTGTAGGAGTAGTATATCTGGGCTTGTAGCCACACAGTCTGTCTAGTGATTGCTCAGGTGCCGGGCACCTTGTTTCCAAGGATTCATTAAAAGGACACTGTCAACATGATTGGGCCTGACAGTGTCCCCCCAGTGGGGGATGGTAAATCTCGGGCAGGACTTAGGTGGAGACTTGAAATGTGTAAACATAATTTCTTTCCCAGCTACCTCCCTCACTGGGCTTTTCTGCTGGAGTTCAAGCTGCTGGAGATGTTAGGCTGTTTTTAAAGCCGCCAAGGCAAGCTGGACAGCCTATCCCAGTTAGTTCCTGCACTGTGATGCTGTCTAATGTCTTTGATATGGGGCATATCAAGGAAGTTAGCATGGTAGAAATGCAGCCAGAAGGAACCTCTTAGCGGGATGAAGCAGGGAAGAAGTTGGCATTTGGGTCTTGGGCAGGACCTTGATTTTCATGGATTTGAGCCTGGGTACAGGAGAGAGGACAGGCCAAGTTGTTGCCATAATGTACTTCCTATCATCTACTGAGCATGGTGATTTCTTCCTCCTCCACCCATGCTTTTCCACAGACTTTCCTCTTGCGACATCTCTGCATATGACTGAACTCAAGCCATGGGCAGGTCTCTAGCTTTTTGGTTTGTTCCAGCTTTGAGGACCAAAGTGCAGTGAAGACTTGGAATTTTCAGAGAGTCAATGACTGGAAAGATGAAAAAGAGAAATCTCTTTCTTCGAGACACCAGCGTTGCCTGGGAAAGTGGAAGTGAGCTAAGGGGATTTAGGAGAAAGATCTTACCTGCTTGCAATGCGCTTGGTTTCTACCCATACACTACCAGGTCATCACACCAAACTGCATACAGGGCATCCTGTGGGACTCCATAGGTCTTGGAGGGAACATTAGGGATAGTGAGCTAGATCTGAACTTGGGCCTGAGAAGTTCATCCAGTCTTCTGCCTGTTTAACTTCATCCTGGGGTGAGTCTCAGGTCTTTACGTCCTGGCTTTGCTGGAGAAGAAACTGGTACATTCAAGCTGTCCAGAAGGCCCTTTATACTGCCCATATTTCTAGGGCTGCAAGGGCCCCAGTGTGCACTTTGCAATAACTTAGCTGCTGCCTATTAGTTAATCATCCTTCCCCTCTGCTTAAGAGCAAGGGAATTCTCAGCCTCCCAACATTAGTTCATCAAACTCCACTTTCATCAGTATTATTCACTATGGTTCTTTGCTCCTTCCCAAGATAGCAGGCCAGGTCTGGGCTAGTAATGCAGAGTGAGCTTTTTTTCTGACATGGATATTTTAAAGTTTAAAAGAAATTTTTAATCAGCATGTTGGGAAGGACTAAATAAATTAATGAACTTTCTAATCTTGTACAGATGGTCTTGTGGTTAAGATATTGGATGAAGGCACAAGAATTTCAGGATGGGTTGCTGGCCATGCTGAGTCTCACAGTGTGTCTTCAGACAGTCACATTAGCACCTGGGGCTTTTCCACATCTGCAAAATGGAGAAGATATTCACATGCTCTCTCCTTTTGTCTTTCTTCTGTACAGTGACTGTAGGGTTTTTTGAGCCCTGATTGTTTTCCATTGAAGTTCTGTTTTCCCTCTCTGTTATTCCTGCCTGCCTGTCAGCCTGCGCAGATCTCTCACTTGTGTTAAATCGTCCATTCCTTCTGGGTGTGCTAACACAGATAAAACTTTAAATTAGAACTTAGATTACATATCTCTCTGCATCAATAAGTACTTTTTTTCCAAGACAAAGTGGACTAAATCATCCCAATGGTACAGTTCCTTCAGCATCTTCCCAGTTTTCCTGTGGATGCCTAGCTGGATGGACAGGTTCCCCCAGATTTAAATGGAACTGAGATGGAGCTGCTTACAGTGAAGATCTACACCACTCTCACAGACCTAGAGCACATGCAGAGCAGCAGGAACATAGTAATTGAATGTCAGCTTGCAATGTCACTGCTCAGTCCTGGGCTGGGTGTGCCTGCAAAGCGATGGGAGGCTGGACTTGGTGGACTTCTCTGACAGTCCTACCTGCCTGGCCCAGGTGGGTGGCCAGAGTCATGCCACAGTCATCCTTGCAGTGTGACCCTTCATGCATTGAAGACTAAACAGCACCAGACTTAATCTGTGAGGGCACTATTAGATGCTTTTGAACAACCTAGCACTGCTACTAATGATACTTCAGCAGTATTCCAAATCTCATCCTTTTATTAAGAGTTTTGAGATGACTCTTTTGCCTTCCCTGAAGCCCCAGCTCCTAGAGCAGGTGATTATATGAGAGTACAGTGAGAAGAAATGAATGGCTGTCATCTTAACAGAAACTGTTTATAGCCTCCACAGCTGGGGAAAGGCATCTCAGAGTAACCACTGGGCTCAGAAACCAGAAAGCAAAGAGAAAGGTTCCAAATATATTTTTTTAACCATCTTGTTCCTTCTGTCAATGTTATGGTTTTGGGGGCCTGACTCATGATTTTTCACACTTGGCATTGGCAATACTTCCACTAAATGATCTGCTCTCCCTACATCATGTTGCTAGGCTGACTGAAAGCCAGTGGCTTTATAAAGCTCTTCCAAGTTCTTCCTGAGTCTGCAAAGACAACCAGAAAGGGGATTAATCCTAGAGCTGGAATATTTCAGCGAGAGCAGCTTTCCACCCATCCTGTGTGAAGGGACCAGAAGACTAATCCCATTCCCTTCTTCCTCTTCTCTGTATCAACTGCATTAGGGGCTTTTTAGAGTGCCTGGTCACTTGTCACTGCTTTCCTGCTGAAAGGCAGTCTAATGTGACTGTGAACATTGTTAGTGGGAGACATTGTGAGAACTGCTGTGATCCCAGATCCTGGCATCATGGCTTTGCAGTATTTCAGCACATGAAGCTGTTGTTTCCAATGGCGGGCTTCCTCGTCTGGTGGCATTTGTTAAAACAGGCATTTATTGGGAGATAACGGTAGGGACTGGCAGGCTATTTAAATCACAGCTAGTTTTATGTTATAAATTACATCAACTTCTGGAGTGCCAGACTTCCCAGAGATGTTTAATTCCTGCCTGACTAGGACCCTGTCTCTGTTCCAGAATCTGCAGTGGTGTCTAATTTATTTTACTGGGGGATTTCATCAAAGCCTCTGACTTTAACCTATATAGCCCTACATGACTTGGGTTCTCCCTTTCCTTGAGATCTCCCTCTCTTCCTTAGTGTTAACATGGTAATAAATGTCAAATGAAGCATTCCAGGCAACATATCCCTGATTTAGTTAGGAAAAGCTGATGGCAGTCCAGTTTTGGGGTGAGGGAATGGTCATGGAAGCTATACCTCTGTGACAGGACATTAGAGTCTGCACACGGACTTCCGTCACTTGGTGACAGCAGGATGATGTGTGGATGGCACACGAGGCTAGAGCTCTCCATATGTTTGTTGCCCAGAAGCAGTGTTTCTCACAAGTGTGCTTGTATATCACAGGGATGAAGGGCACAGCCTGAGAGGGAGGGATGTGCTCATGAAAGCCCAGCAGCTACATGCAAATGTGGTGGGGTGTTGGATGCTCCTGCAGCCTTCCTGGGGCACTCCTGGGGAAGGGGCCCTCAGCAGAAGCAGTGGCTGCATGTTTCAGCCCATCCACATCGTTCCCACGTGGCTGGAGGTTAATGTCCTCCTTGTGTTGTCCCACAAGGTTTCATTACCCTTCAGCCAGCTGGCCCTTTCTTTCTTTGAAGGACGACACTGTTTTCCAGTGTCTTTTCAATTACTCTTGCTCAGGACAACGAGCCTGGTCCTACCTGAGTGAGTTGTGGTTTCCTGGCTCTCCATGACTGGGCTGTAAACCCAATTTGGCATCTCTTGCCTTGGAAGTGTTAGGGTCCGGCATATAATTAATAGCACTTTCCTCCTGGGGCGCAAACTAAGGCTGATGTGTTGTAATTAGGAACACACACAGGCTCAGAGGGTGATTTGGGCATGAAGTTAATGAACTGTAAGTCCCTGTAGCTGTGGAGGAATTTGAGCGCAGTGACTCCAAAATCAGCTGCAGAGGGAGAGCTGAAAAGCTCTGGAGGGGACAGGCTGGGGGGACCGTGCAGATCAGACCCCAAAATGGACTAAAGGTAACATGCAATTCCTTGCTTTGGGATTGAGGTCTTATTCCTGCCCAGAGCGCTATGGGCTATGCTGGAGGCTGTATGGTCTCTGCAGACCATGCTGGTCATTTCTGAGCCTTCTGAAATGAGTATTGTTGGAGAAAAGCTCTGCGGAGACCCATGGGGAGAAGTGGGAACAGAAACAAGTCTCTGATGGAGGTGACCTTGCATTAGGTGCCCATGGCAGCAGTAATACTGAGACTTTGAAGGTCACCTGCCTGCAGAGAAGAGATGGGACCACCCCGGTTGTGCTGTCCCAGCTGGTGCCACCACCGTGGGGCTGAGCCCCATGTCCACTAACTGCCTTTCTGTGTCTCCTCAGCTGTCTGCGACCCACCCTGCCAGAACAAGGGGTCCTGCAGTCGCCCCCAGGTCTGTACCTGTCGCTCGGGCTTCCAGGGCTCCCGATGTGAAGAAGTCGTTCCTGAGCAGGAGTACCACCCGCCTGGTGCTGCTGCCGCCTTCCAGCCCCCCACAAGCTCCCTCCGGAGGAGGACCAGCATGGCAGGGTGGGATGCCTCTCTGCGAGGGGCTCAGGCACCTGTCCCACGGCACGTCCCGGCTGTGTAAGTCAAACCTGGTTTCTGGCAGGATGCTCCCCAAAACCCACAGGCAGTTAATTCCACGCTCAGTGGGGCCACAGCCTCTGTTTCATGAGACTGGGCATCTTGGCTCCTGGTGGAGCTGACATAAGGGGGTTGTGTCCTGCTGTCCCTCCATGTCATTTGGTTTGTCCCCAACACTGTGTTTGTCCCCAGGCACATGCCGGAATGAGACAAGCTAGTGATGGTCCTATGGGGAAGGAGGACTGCAAAGCTCAGCAGTTGGTCCTTGCCCAGTTGGTAAACAGCCTTCATGGTAGCAGCAGGGTGGATGGAAGAGTGGGGTTAAATCTGTTTCCCAAGAGGATGTGTTTAGAGCAGTATGTCCAGGTAGTACCCATAGAATAGTGCACAGGCTTGAGGTGTGCTGGTAAGTGCTGGCATGAGCAAAGTGGTGATACACAGAGATGTCTCTTGGTAGGCTCTAGCCACTATTCAGCCATTTGTTCCATATTTCTGTGTCACCTTCCTGTGGTCTGGGTCATTTTTGTACCCAGGCAGGTGCCTGCAGCTGTTGGGGCTCACAGAGGTCCGTGCCAGAGAGACTCTGTAAGTAGCATGTTAAGCTCAACATGACAACTGTGGCATTGACCGGTCCTTTTGGGTGAGGAAGAGTTTATGGCTTCAGCCCACCTGCCTCAGGTTGGTGTTGAGGTGCTCTTGTACCCAAGCTGAAACTCCTCCACACTTTGTGTTGTGAAGTCCAGCTGGAGCTGTGGGTTTTCTGCTGAAGGAGGCAGTAAAGTCAGGAAAGGTGCCTTTCCCTGACAAGCACAACTACTGTGCTGACAGCTCATTGGGGATAGAGAGGTTGGAATGGTGCCCGCTACTATACAACAACCCACACATGTTATGGTTTTTTTTAAAAAAATTACCTTTGCTTTTCTGTAAGAGTCCATGGACACAGGCACAAAGTGTTTGGCTGCACCACTCCTAAACACCTGTGTCTTGCTGCTACTCACTCATTTTCTGGGCCAGAAAGACTGGTTTTGTTGGTAGCCACCACAGCAGAGAATTTGCACGTGGCTTCCCGCAGAAGTCCCTCAGTCATAGTCAAGAAAACATTACAGGTGCCTAACAAGAGGTAGCTTCAATTTCTCCTTTTCTTCTTTGAGCCGTACTTAGTGCTACCCGAGGAGAGGGCAATTCAGCCTTTGTTTTTCTGTATTCCTGAAGGTTGTTTTTAATGTGCATGTTGCACCTAAAGTAGCTGTTGCCTTTCTGTCTCTTCTGAAACAGAGGCGGTGCATGGCCTTGAGACATTTCTAGACACTTACTCTCGGCCACCTACAATTTTGGAGGGGCTCAAATGACTGATGAGGAACTGACTGACACCAAGTAGTTCATGTCTTGGTGCCAATTTGAAATACTCTGATGGGAGCCAAATTCAGACAAGGCAGAGGTGATGCTGGCAGGGAGAGGGGGCCCAGCCCCTGTCACAGCTGCCCTGAGAGAGGCTCGGTGCCCAAGCGAGCACGCAGCCCTCGCACGTGCCTGCAATCCTGGTCATTGCTGACGAGTTTCCCTGCAGCAATGACCTCCTCCTACCCCTCTGTGCCACTGCTCTGTGTAGAGGGACTGGAGGGGAGGGAGACCAGTGCCCTTGGAGATACAGCACCTGTTGAAGGCTTTCCCAGTAAGGAACATGACCTCAGGCTCTGCACAGACAGGGCATTCCTGTCCAGACGGTCAGGCACATCGTCTAGCGATCGCTGAGCTGGGATTGCTGAATGCCCAGCTGCCTGCTGTACCTTAAATCCTCTGGCACTGTCCCAAGGAAATAGAACTCCATTAAGGACCGTGCCGTGCCTTTTCTCCTTCCCTCCCCATAGAGGCCATAGGACATCATCTTATCCCACACTTCACCAAGAACATTTGATGTTCATCCTTTGCAATGATCACAGGTAGTAGTACCCTGGGACATCTCCACCAGTGGCTGCCTTCTGGAGCTGTCCTCAAGGATTTGCTGAGGCTGCTATGCATGTTTCTGAGAGGGAGCTCTCACTGCCTCTCTGGGTGCAGTGCCACAGGCTGCTGCCTTTCCTTCCCCGGGCAATGTGTAGCAGCCCTGCTTTGCAGGCAGGTATGAGACTGCCTGCACCCTGGCACTGATCTGCTTCAAAATGCCTCACTTCAGCTCCTGGGCATTTTCCCATACAGTTCAGTCACCTGGGTTTTCTTCATGGACCATATAACATATGGCATGCAACTGGCATGACCTAAAAGTCTTGCTGCTGCTAGATGGATTGTTTCCCAAATACATCTGAGTGTCCCTTTTAGCCTGCCAACTTCTGGGTTGGCTGTGGAGCCTGCAAGAGCGAGCATCTGCAGCTGAAGACACTGTTGCTGCCATTGCACCTGACTGTGACCTCCCACTACTTCTCTTGCACCAGTGTTAATCCTCATTTGGCCCCTGGGTGAGTTGGCTGAGGTCAATAAACAAACAAAAAATTAACAGAGCAAAATTAAGGATAATTTCCTGGTGCTTCAGTGGACTAAATTGACTTATTGAAAGATCATGAGAACCAGAAGAATTGGACAGAATTGCAAGGCACACAGTGGAGGGAAGGAAGGGAGTGGACTCCCCTTCTGGGGGAAGCCACTTACTGGGTTGATCATTTGTCTCATGAAATGATGTTCTTAGACTTGTTGGAACTCGGAGCCTGTTTCCTGCAGTTACAACATCATCTAGTTCTGTGCTACCACTAAGGTACTTTCTATGCTTCTGCATCAGGCTTTCTCCATACAGTTGGGCAGCAAAAGCAAGAAGCATATTTGCCTTCCCAGAACTAGGTTGATCTTGCTCATATTTGCAAGTATGAGGATCAGTTCTTAGGCACGGCAAACTTGGGGTCACCGTCACTGGAGTTCAGTTCACTGTCAAGTCTGAGAGGAACAGCTTGGGTTTTCCAGTCCTTGGTCTCCTCCTGGATAAGGATGGGTTGTGCTACTGGGACCCTGACTTTTTCTAGTCAGCCTGCCATGATCCCACAGCAACTGTCTTGCTTGTCAATAAGGAAGAGGTGGAAGAAGCTCTCAGGTAGCTCAGTGGATGGAGAACACTAGTGGTTCCAGGTCAGTGTTTGTGAGAAGACAAACAACTAGTCCCTAACCTCCCTGCACATTTGCACTGCTAACAAGAAGGAGTTGTGCAAGAGTGGGAGCTTTTAGAACTCTAAGCCTCATCTTGCTGTGCCAAGACAGGAAATCAATCCTCACATGAATTAATTTGCTTTCTTCTTTTGTTTATTTGCGTGTATGTTGGCTTTGGTTGTGTTTGTTTGTATGGAGGTAGCAATCAGAAGCTCTGAAGTCATGCACTAGAACAGGGCTGTATTAGATGACATATAAACATGCAACAAAAAAACATGAATCCTCCCCAGAGACCTAAGCAGAGGTAGGATTGCTTTTGTTTTCAGTGTGTTCTAAAGCGAGTGTTTGGAGAGAGTTAGGGGAGCAGCCTTCTGGGTTATTCAGGAACTGCCTGGACCAGAATACTCCCCACTTGTCTCAGTGGTGGGTCAGCTTTAAAATTATTTCTCATCCTCAGCTAGTTGGACTTGCTGCTTATTATGACTGCCCCTTCATTGTGGAGAGTATCCTGGTCTGGAAGTCTTTGAGAGCCTGGAGAAGCCTATAAAGCCTTGGTGAAGAGCATGACCAGGCAGCAGCCTGTTTTCATGGCCCTGTTTCTGGCACATATGCTCAGGCTTTCCAGAGCTCATGCCTGGAAGCAGAATCAGCAATGCCTTCTGTGGCTTCTCTGTCAGGGGAGCCCAGGAAGCACGACTGTGACAGCACAAGATAAGTTACTATCAGTCTTCTGCCTCAGCCTTGGTGAGAAGTATCAGCTCCTTGAACAACAGGGTTGTACTGTCATACACAACTGGTGGTTTGTATTTGTACTGGTGGTTTGTATTTGCACCTGGCAGATGTGAAGGTTAGCAAATGAATCTGTGGGCATTCCCGGTGTAGCTGTCATAGATCCATTTCTGGGCATGCTGGCAGTCCTGCGAAGACATGGACATGGGCGTCAGGGTGCTGCAGTGCTACACATAGCCATCAGTGCCTCTGTTTAGGGACGTACCAGGGAAGAATCACTTCATCCTTGGCTTGCTCATACGGTGCACATTATCTCTTCATCCTGGGACTAAAGATGATGACATACCCAGCCTTACCTGAGCTCAGCACTTGCTCGGGGGAAGACATGGCTCGGAGAAGGGCAGCTCTGGGTTAACTTTGCTGACACCAGAGCTGGTGATACTCAAGCTTTCATCCCTTAAAATACAGGCTGAGCAGTGACTACCACTTCCCAAGTCCCTTCAGCAGGCTGTGGCTCAGTGGAGGTTTAGAATTGGGTGTCTGAGGGAGCCTGTGGGCACTTGTTAGCTGCTGCAGAAGCTGGGAGGCCCCTGCACTGTGCTGCTTGGAACAAGGAGTGCTCCTGAGAGCAAAATCCTGGGGGTGTTAGAGGCCCTCCCGGCATGGACTAGCTGCAAATCCTCCCTCTTCTTGATCTCAGCCTGAATCTCTGCCCAGAGAAGCAAAGCCCCGACAGATGATTGTGAGGGTGGAGCTGCACCTCAGCCCAGAAGCAGAGCTAAATGGAAACAGCTTTGTTTTCCTAAGGCTGGAGTATCAGCAGAATTCCTGTTTATTTAGCAGGGAGTGGAAAGGGCTTGTACCCCTGCCCCTCACTGTCAGGATGGATGGCCAGCTGCCTCTGACTAGGTAGCGTGCAAGGAGGTCCTGCCACTGCCACCCAAAAAGGTCCCTCCTGCAGGAGTGCTGGGCATAAATCTGTAACCAGCATCTATGCAAGGGAGCTCTGCTGCCCAGATAGGATGTGTGTGCTGGACGTGGGCTGCCTGAGAAGGAAGACGTCCTTCCTTTCCACAGAAAAGAAGAGATGACTGGGACCTGCAAAGCGTTTTCCCAGCAACCCAGGCAAGGGAAGAGCACAT